CTTCCTCCCCCTTACAACAACCCATGGCAGCCCTGGATTCAAGCCAGCCTGGGTTTTCTATCCCCTCTAGTGGTGCCCCTGCTGTTCTGAGAGGAGGAACGTCGATTTAGAGTTAGGAGGAACCTCAGAGGTCATCCTGCCTAAGGGCTTGTGTTACAGATGAGTGACTTGGCTGTGCTCTCCTAGGTAGTATACAGTGTGCAGATTTCAACCCAAGTCTTCTGACTTCAAATCCAGTGTTCTCAAAAACGTACCACGTTTCCTTCTTCCCTTTAACTTGACTAGATTAAATTTGTATTGTCGCCGTTTCAGCTCCCCAGTTAGTTCTCAAAGATCAGTCCTGCAATGCTGAGCCAGACCTTTCTGATCAGATTCTTAGTCCTTGGGGTTTTTGTTGTTGTTGTTGTCTAATATGCCAAGAAATGAGGGTTTCAAATGAGTTCATTTTCAGTTTCTAAGCAGTGGCCATCCGAAAAGACAGAGGCAGCTTTTGAAAAGTGGGTTCCCTTCCGTGTTTATTGTGAATGGGTTTGGGGGGTGGATTAGCATCCAGTTCTGTGTTGATTTTTTTTGTGTATGCCTGTATGCACTCGTTTGCCCAACAGAATTTATTAAGCAATATGTATCAGGTCCTATGCCGGCCTCTAGGAAGGATACAGAAATATGAGACTTGGTACCTGCCCTTAAGAGATTCCAATATATTTGGAAACATAAATCTTTTTGATGGGAGCCTTTGGAGGGAGGGCTGTACCTTACTCTGGCCCTCTCTCAGCATAGAGATATGCTCAGGTAACCTTGGGCAAGTTCCTAGAACTCCCTAATCACTGGAAATGGGGGGAATTTGCTTGACTGATACCTTTGAGTCACATAAGTTTGTTGACTGAATGACCATTACCGAGTCCCATCTCCTTTAGCCAGAACCTGATTCTTTCTCTTGTGCACATATACTTATATTTAATTGCCAAGAAGCCAAGGATTTTTCCATGGGAAGATTTGAAAGGTGACTTAATTTAAAAAAAAAATTGTCCTTCTCTGCTTCCACTGAAACAATTGAGCCTGTTTTGCATCTACCACCCATTGGTGTCAAACTCAAGTAGAAATGGCTTCCTATTGGTTAGGGGGCATATTGCCTTAGAAAACCTCACATTAACATCACCTATGATATATTGTCTTTACATTTTGTTAAACATTTCCCAATTACAGCTCAGTCTGGTTTTGGCCACACTCAGGAGTTTTGTGGGAAGCCTTGAGTTTGACACCTCTACACTAACATGATGTCAAATGCTTATCTAAGTGCTTATCTGACCCATAGTAACCCTAGCTGTGGTTTCTAGAGTCAGGGACAGGTTAAATGCCATTTCCCAGCTATTCCTTACCTTGCTTATCAATATAGTGAAGCAAAACCCTGTGGAGAGTTGGGGAGCTCTGCACATAATTCTGCTACCACAAGGTCACTCCCCAAGGCATGAAGAAGCTGTCATTCAGTTGACATTTTGAAGAAAAAGGAGCATGGTAGTGCCTTGGTAGTTGCTTCTGGAATAGGGAGATGGGGGTGAGCCCAGGTCAGAAACTTATAGAGGAATTGCTGTAAGGCAGAAGGAAGAGGGGCTAGTATGATCTTGGGCTTCATTGAGAGGCATAGCTTCCAGGATGAAGAAGTGATAGCCCTGCTGTACTTTGCCCTGGTCATCCTGGCATTTAGATAATAACTATAGAATTTATACAGTCACTTTGTATCACAAAAAGTTTTACAAATGTCTTATTTGATTTTTACAACCGTAAGAGGTGCTATCATCACCATTTTGCACATAAGGAAACTGAGGCAACTAGAGGTTAAGTGACTTGCCCAAGATCACAGACCTCGTAAGTGTCAGATCTAATTTGAACTTAGATCTTCCTGACTCCAGGCCTAGCACTCTAGCCATTGTACATCCAGAGTATTGTCAGTTCTGGGTAGTTTAGGAAGGTTAGCGCTCAATTATAGAATCTTTAAAGCTGGGCAACGCTGATGGGGAGATGATGAACCCCAAGTTTGTGCCATGTTAATATTGGTTGAGGGGGACTGGAGAAGAGAAGACTCAGGGAACATGGTCACTGTTTTCAAGAATGTGAAGGGCAGCCTCGAAGAATAGAGACCATTTTGTTCTATTTGGCCCCAGAAGGCAGAACTGGAGACCCTGAGTGGATGTCAGGAAAAGCTCTGCAAACGATTGGAGCTATCCAAAAATGGACTGAGTTCCAGGATATAGTGAGGATGCCCCTCATTCGATGTTTTCAAGAAGAGGCTGAAGGATCATTTATCAGATATGGTGAGGCGGCAGGGATTCATTTTCCAGCTGGGTTAGGCTAGATGACTAGATGTCCCTTCCAACTTGGAGATCTTGTTTCCCTAGAGCTCAACACCCTTTCCAGGGAGAACTTAGTTCAATAGGACTGTGTTTCAAGAACGTATCCTTTCCCACTCATCCCTCCTTAAAAGGTTGTTTTGTCATTCCTACGTAGTCCCAGAACTCTATAAACACATTTTCAGAAGTGGTGGAGTCCATGGTGGACTCTGACCTCATCATGTGGGTCCAGGGGGAAAGGTTGGTGGCTTTGAAGCATCTGTTATCACTCATGCTTTCCACCTGTTCTTCACATGGGCAGTTTGGTTGGCACAGCCTCTCCCTCTTCCCACTGAGGATTCCAAGGGTCCTGCCGCTTTGGGTGGCATTTAAGGTAGCCTTTCCCAGTATGGCATGACCCACCAGGTTCACCTCATTTCTGTCTTCTTCCTTTGTGTCCTGTGACTGCCTGATGCTTTGATAGGAAGCCAAGTCTGGAGACAAGGCACCATAACTCCAGGGAGGCCTTCATGCACCACCCAGAGTGGGTGACAGATTATGTGTCAGGAAGGGATTCCCAGGCATGTGCCAAGGGCCTCTGTGCCTGTAACATATAGATGTGGAAGGGTAGGTTCTCTCTGCATCTCCAGCATCTGGCAGGATGTCTGTACGTGGTGTTTAATAGAAACCTGTTGAATGGGAGCCAGGTCTCCTTAGCTGATGCTGTATCCAGAGGAAGAGCACTCAGCACCTTCAGGTGCCTTCAGTGAAGAAAAGAATAGGGAGAATTTAGATATGAGGTCTAGGCACCTTGGGATAGGAGGAGAGGCCTCAGACTAGTCGCCTTATCCTCCCATATGCAGTCCCACTGATGAACTGACAGGCACCCCTCTCTTGGTCCTTCTGGCCAAATAGCACTGCCATGCAACTTGCTTGGCATCCATCTGTGTCCCCCTGACCTGGCCTCTAGAGGTAGGTGTGGGCTAGGAGAACAGCTATCCTGGCCCTGGTACGGCAGAGGAAGCACCAGCAGAGGCTGCTCCTCGGGAAGGCGTGAGCGCTAAAGGAGGACACAGTGTGTGGATATGTGAGTTGGGTGGTGAGTGGGCAGAGATGTAGGGAGCAAGACATAGCATAACACTGAGACACAGCTTTCAGCTCCCCACAGACAGGGCTCCCCTTGGGACCATACTCTTAAAAATTCTTTTGCATTTTCCAGTATTTTTGGTGAGCTGAGAAATAGACCTTCCCCCGCACCCCATCTCCATCCGGTCCGGGGCTTCCTTACCCATTTTGTTCTGTACCATAGCAGACATGGATATTATTAGTGGGTGAATGGGGAGGACTGAAGGGCAGGAATGACAGGAAAGAAGCTGTAGGCTCAGGGGAGATGATCTTGGAGACACCGTCCTGAACCAGGTGCTTAGGACAGCCCTCCTTCCTGAAAATGGGTGCCAGATGCCCTCCCCAAAACTAAGCAGACCAGACCTATAGGGCTAGACCACGGAATAATGGGGTCCCTATTCCCTCTCTCTGGGAAGGTGATTTTATCTTTCTCTGTACCTTCAGCATCAGAGAAGAACAGCTAACTGGAATGTCATTGGCTTAAGATTTCCAGAGCGCTCTCTTCCCAGCAGCAGTAGGCAATATAAGTAAGATAATCCCCATGTTATAAATGCATACACTGACTCTCGGAGAGGGAAAATTATTTGCCTAGTCAGCTAGCAAGATCAGAAACGGAGTCAGAATCCTTTCCTTCGAGGTCCAGGCTGGGTGCCGCTTCCTCCAAGAAGCCTTCCCTGACCCTCCTTTCCCCAAACCAAAACCTCAGCTGTGTTTTCTGCCCCAGATTTTCCTAGAACATTCTTATGGGTTTCCCTATTGCTCCATCATCTTTTACTTTGTGTTATATTTACCTATATACAAGTCTGCCTCCCCTCTCTATTCTAATAGAATGTAAGCTTAAGGTCAAGAATTGTGGCCTCTTCCATGTTTGTATTCTCAGCACCTAGTCCAGACCCTTGTGTGGAGTGGATGCCTAGTAATTGATTTGAATGGACTGCTAAGACCAGGCCTCTGAATTATCATGGCATCTGGAGCTGGAAAGGGCCTTGGAGAGCATCTCATCTGATGTAATTTTACAAGATCACACTGGTATTGAGGGGAAGGGGATAAATATTTATGTAGCACCTACTAGGCACTCTGCTAAGCCCTTTTACAAATATTTTCTCACTTGAAACTCATAATGACCTTGCGAGGAAGATGCTGTTGTTATCCCCATTGTACAAGTTGAGGAAACTGAGGCAAACTGGTTAAGTGACTGGTCCATTGTCACACAGCTAGGGAGTGCCTGAGGTCAAGTTTGAACTCAGGTCTTTCTGACACCAGACCTAGTGGGCTATCCATTATGCTACCTAGCTGCCTCCATTAAGTAGGATTTGAACCCTCAGTCCTTTTGACTCCAGAGTACCTATTCTTCATAATATGACACATAAAGAATATCTTCCCTATCTACAGAGAGTCCCTTATATTGTCCAGCCTCTGTGGAGGGAGAGGCAGGCTGTTTTCTTCTTACCCGAATCAAGGGGCCAAGAAGAGGCATGAGTTGGCTTCCTTTGTTCTGAAGCATCTTAATAACCGCGCTCCTTACCCTGCCATCAATACCTTTCTCTGCCATTTTGAGGCTCAAGCCTTCTTGGGTGGAGTGGCTATTTTATTGTTCCTGCCATGAATTCCATATGCCTCAGGGAAGTGCAGGCTACATTTGGAGAGGTGGATGCTTAAGGTAGCCTGGTCCTGCTGGCCCAGACCTCCAAATCTTCTTCTTCTCTTGGGAAGCTAATGCCAGGGTGTCAGGTAGCTGCCTTGTCTGGGGAAAGAAGCAGATGCTCACCTTAAGCCTTGCTTTCATTGTATCACAGCGCTGTTGCACAATTGCCAATGACTTCCTTTTTTATAGACTCAAAGGTTATTTGAGCTGGAAGGGAATTGAGGCATCACCCAGGGCACCCCCCCACTTTTAAGGATGAGGAAATGGGGTAAAACTACTCCAGATGGGGTGATTTAAAGTGCTTTGGAAACCACAAGGCACTATATCCTCCTCCTCCCTCCTCTTCCTCCTCCTTCTCCTCCTCTTCCTTCTGTTTGGCACTGAAGGCCCCTCTACAATCTGCCCCCACGCTAATATTATTTCTCACCTCCAAATTTCTCCTTTCACTCTGCCCTCCTCCTTGTCCCCCGAAGATACCATAACTCATTTCCACCTCTTTGATTTTACTCATGCTATTTTCCTGCCAGGAATGCCAATCCTATTCCCTTCTCTCTAAATTCTACCCTTTCTCTGCCTCCTCTGGGAAGCCTTTCCCAAGTGTTCTCATCCTTACCCGATCTCTCCCTTCTGTGACATGTATAGCTATTGCTACACAACTTGCACTTTATTTCCTATTAGTTAGTGCCATTTCCTGGGCTGGTTATGAGCTTCCTCAGGGCATAGATTGATCTTACAGTTCTCGTATCCCCTATGGTGTTCAGCTTCAGGGGTAAGCACAGAATAAGTGCTCAGGTTTTTTTTGGCTGCACTCAAAGTCTCCTTCCCCTAGCTGCCTTGCCTCTTAAAAGATCATCTTGAACCCCTCCCTCCACCCAAGCTGGAAGTTAAATCTTGCTTAGGAAAACTCTACCAACATCTGTGACCATTTCTATGGGCCCCATGTCCACATGATATCTGAGGTCCTTTCCAGTTCTGACAGCCTAACACCCATCCATTGTATAGATGTGGACACGGAGGTCTAGAGAGGTGAAATTATTTGTCCAAAGACATACCTGGGTCTTCTTACTTCAAGTCCAGTGCCCTTTGTGCCACTGTTTTATATTAGGATGCCTGTTTTTTCCCCTTTCTAGGGAAAACTCTAACCTTACCTCCTAAGAAACTTGTGGGGCTGGACAGCTCCCATGTGCCTGCACTGTTTTGAGTGACTTATGAGGGCTGATGAATTGTCAGTCCTTTACTCTTTCCCTGACCTTATGTCCTAGTGACCTCACACAAGCTATCATCCATCTTGCCCTCCCAAACCCTGACCCATGGGCACTAAGCCCAGTTGTTGATGGGGAACACTTGGCTCAGGCATGGCAGGTGAGGGGCTGAATGCTGGACAGGGGTCCCATCCTGTTACCTGTAGGCAGAGCTAAAGCTTCGGAAGGTGTTCCTGTGGGGAGAAAAGCAATACTACTTAGGTCTGAGGCAGGGAACCTCTGTCCTGGTACCTAAGGAAAACCCCTTAGAGGGATCACTTACGTGGTGTCATTAGGAAGGGGTTTCTGTCCATACTGGTCAAGGCTGGGGTTCTGGTTAAGACAGTACTAAGAGAGGACCAGAGAGGAGAGAGAGATCAGTAAACAGTGGCTGTTTGGCCCGGCTCTCCTCATGGAAGCTTGGAGGTCACTGGAGAAGGGTCTGTGTGTTCACAGGGGCCAAGGATTTATACCTGTCTCCTACCCTCAGGGATGAAAGCTGCAGTCAGTGGATTTGGAAGCATGGAATCCTAGTGTTCACCTGTTCCAATTCCTTTACTTTACAGATCAATGGACTCAGTTGCTGCAGACCACAGAGATAGTGGCCAAGCTGCATCCCCCAGTTCCCCAGAGGCCTTGGAGGGGTTTGGGCGTGGGTGGTGTACCCATTGACTCTGCCTACATTTCAGTTGTGAACACTCTAGCCAATGCTGTTGCAAAGAATGATCCCAGGCTGACCTGGGAGAGAGACGATGGCTTTAGGAAGAAAGGCCGTTTCTTTGTCCCAGCTGATCATAATCCCACCTTACAAATGAACAGGGCTTAGTAGTTTGACATATTGGTTATGCAAAGTTGTTGCAAGGGAGGTGTGTATTCTTATCTTCATTTTGCAGATGAGGAAACTGAGGCTTAGAGAGGGGAGTGACTTGCCCAAAGTGATGTGGCTAGTTCATGGAAGAGCTGGGTTCATAAGAACATAGACTTAGACCCAAGAGGAATGTTGTAGGTTGTGGAGTTTAACACTCTTCTCTCCCCCCCCCCACAACCTAATTTTATATGTAAGGAAACTTGAGGCTGCTCATAAGGGTACAATAATTTTCCAAGGTCACACTTAGATCCTCAGACTCCCAATGGAATCTAGGAAGCAGAGATGTAAATTGGGGGTGATAATTAGCCAGTTATACCAGGACTCCACTGGCTTAAAGGTTGGTAGAGCCTTTGCTCCTTCCTTCTTAGACCCATCTTGTCACAGAAATCAGAATGGGGGATTCTTGTATGGTTCCCTGACTCCCCTCCCCTCCTCCATTGAGGACCACCAAAGCCCTCCCAGATACTCTTCTAATTGATAAGAAGGGATTCTTTTTTCTATGTTCTGTTCCAGCCAGGGGCAGGGGAGAGGGACGTGAGAGCTGTCTCGTTTCCCCATCATTCTCTTCTTTCCTGCCCTCCTCTTCCCCCACCCCACTCTCTCTGGGGTGTCCAGGCTAATGCGGACCCTGTCCCAGTGGAGATGTGTCTGGGCCTGTCCTTGGACAGGGCCCAGGATCACCGGTCAGTGGTAGCTAAGCACAACCCAAGTAATCCTACCCGCCAGCACTGGGTGATATCTGGCTTCAGGTACCTCACAGCGTAGCCACTGAACCCCTCAACTGCAGAAAGAGAAAGCAGAGGACGCATGGCCCAGGCCAGGGTCATCACTTCTATCACATGGCAGATTGAGCACATCCTCCAGAGAGGCCTGCCTGCCTGCACATAATACACCCTCAAGCCTCGCCTGCCCTCATATCCACCCCAAACCTTAAATTCTTGCTTTTAGAGTCATTTTTTGGGTCAAGATACCATCTCTAGAAGGTCTGCCTTGCCCCATTCTAGCCTGAAATGCTTCTGTTAAGGGAAAGAGCCTATTTTACATGTCAGTTGACCATATTGGCTCATAATCAGCCAGTAGTGAGCAGGCCCTTAGAAAATGGGGCATAGAATAGGCAGATTTTGAACATGGAGAAGAGGGGAGACACCCAAAGCTGGGGGCCTCTGAGTAGCAGGGGAAGACAAAGGCCCCGGAATCAGTGGAGAATGGAAGGAGGGAGGAAGAAGCCAAACCTCCCTGGCCTTATAATTATCCCAGGCATTCTCTGGGCCATAGCAGAGACTTCTCCTGACTAGCGACAGGAGGGTTCCTGACCCCTCTCCTGGCTCCCAAGTCCTTGTTTCCTTCACATTTCAGAGTCTGATGCTTAGGGCTCTGATGGACAGGAAAGGGCCAGCGAAAGGGAGGAAGGCTGTATTTCCGGACTCAGCAGGACCCGGAGGTGGGGACAATATCACTGTTGGACACTGGGAGGTAACTGCATATAGACTTCCTGTCTACTCCTACGGGCTCTGGTAAAGATAATAATTAATAACTAATGTTTCTATGGCAGTTCTGAGGGACATCATGCAAGTGTTCTGATTATTTCCATTTTATAGATGGGGAAAACTGAGGCTCAGAAACTTGACTTGCCCAGAGTTATGTAGCTGATCAAGTGTCATAGTTGGGATTAAGGTTACTAAGTTAGAATCTTAAAAAAGCAGACAACCCAAACCGGTCATAATATGACACATTAGTAAGAAGTGACTGACTTCTGTGGTGAGAAGGCTACCATGGCCTTAGAAAGGTCTGGTGGGCAGCCCTTGTCAGGACTCGAACCCAGGTCATCTGACTCCACGATGACCAGGCATTCCAGTTCTCAGGGTCAGGAAAATAGGAAGAAGGGAAGCCTCCTGCTTCCCATAGGCCTTTCATATTCATTCTCTTGTTTCATCCTATGAAGTAGGAAGGAATCATCACCCTCACTTTACAGAAGAAGGAACAGGGAAAGGAGGTGGCTTTGGGTCAACCGTGGTCTGCAGTGGAGCTAAGGTAGACACTGAGGCATGTGGCGTGCTCGGACCTTGGCATGTTTGATGGTTTTGGCTTTTATACTCAGAGGTCATAGGTGCCTAATAAAGCTTTCCTCCCTCCCTCCCCTCCCCTCCCTTCCCCTCCTCCCTGCCCTTCCTTTCCTTCCTTCCTCCCTCCCTCCCTTCCTCTCTCCCTCCCTCACCCCTTCCCTTCCTTTCTTCTTTCCTTCCTTCAGTCTTCTTTCCTCCCTCCTTCCCTCCTTTCTTTCCTTCCTACCTCCCTCCTTCCCTCCCTCCCTCTCCCCCTCCCTCTTTTCCTTCCTTCCTTCCTTCCTTCCTTCCTTCCTTCCTTCCTTCCTTCCTTCCTTCCTTCCTTCCTTCCTCCCTTCCTCCCTCCCTCCTTCCCTCCTTCCTTCCTTCCCCCCAGATTCCCCCTGACCCCAGGCACGACTGCCTTATACTTCATGTCCCCTTCCCCACAATGAGCCCTCAGGCCTGTTCCCACCTCCCCCCCAGTCATCCCCACTCCCTACGGACCCTTTTTATCCACAAGAGGTAGCTTGAACTCTCCTGAGGCAGAGACAAAGTGGGACCAGTCTTCAATGGCATGGGTGTGGCAGGGCCAGTTGATACGGTTAATGCTGGGTGCTATTGGGGCCATCTTCCCACACTGGTACCTCTTTTTAAGCATCTGTCCTGTCCCAGTGATTTCCTGTACAGGGAGACCCCAGTCCCAGAGTGAAAGAAGAAAGACAGCTTCTGCTCCTGAGATACTAGGGTAACAGAGAAGGGGGTGGGGTTAGGACAGTCTCCAAAGGCATGGGCCTGCATGGAAGAGATAGGACTTCCTCAGGACCAGAGGAATATTTGCACTGGGCTCACCACAGAGCCAGGGCAGCACTAGACCTCTGACTGAAGCCAGCAATGTCGCAGGACACAGGAATAGACCATCCTTCCCTGGCCCACTGTTCTGTTCTCCCATCACCTCCCAACCCCATTAGCCCTTCCCCTATCAGTCATTCAACAACCATTTATTATGTGATGCCAGATGCAGTTCTAGGCACTAAGGATTCAATGAGAAACAATAATGGCCCCATTTACCCATATATACACATTGGTCAATGGAAGGGAGTGGTCATGAGCTGAGCCCCACAATACTTTCCCCTTCCCATTCAAGGCCAGCCCTGATCAGGTAGTAGGGGGAGGTGGTTCCCTTCCTCCCCTGCTTAGTGGGACACAGAGAGAAGACACTCATTGCTGCTGGGCCCCCTTTCCTGGGAGTGAATGATGGAGGGGCATCACATCTGTCCTATCTACCTCTCAGGACTTTGTGACTAATCAATCACATCAATGATTGGAGACATAGCTGGAAACCCTCACAGTGGGACTGAAACCAGGCAACAGATTTCCAGGTGGTCCTTTGGAATGTAAGTCAGGGAGGAGAAAGAGAGGCTGGTCCTGGGGGCTGGGCCGGCTTGCTTCTTCAACGGCTTGTTCTAAGCATATCCTGTGACTCCTCCCTCTGCCTCCCATGCTACCATCCTCCCTCCACTTCCAAGCTGGACTCGAGTCTAGGAAGGTCACTCACCAGACCATGCAGGCTTTTGTTGGGGACACCCAGCAAGCTGAAGTGGGCACGGTCAAAGTCACCTGCAGGGAAGAGAAGCAAATGATGGATGATGTGTCTGGGGATGTGATGTCTGTGCAGGGTGTGTGTGCTTGTGTATGTGTGTGTGTGTGTGTGTGTGGTGTAGGTACTTGTGTGTTTGTATTGTGTACCATCTGTGCTGATTGTGTCTTTGGGTCCTGTGTATAAATATAGTGCTTGCAGCTCGTTATGGGCAAAGTCCTTTGACAACCGTGTGAACAGCTGTGTAACTGAGCCTTTACTGTCATATTGTAGAGCATTAAAATGTGGAGGTATGTCTGTTTTTGTATGTGTTTCTTTCTGGGTAGCTTCATCCAGGTTATCCAGGTTGCAGAACAGTGATGCCTTGGAATTGAGGACATACCTTTTCCCTACAAGGTTCCCACCCTATTCCCTGTGATGGTATGAGGATGTGTGAGGTAGACAGGGAGCAGGGACCAGGCATTGTTCTTCCCACTTGCCAGATGGGGGTAGAGGGTCAAGGAAGAGAATGTCCTAAGCTCATAGATTTGGAAGTGGAAGGGGCCTCAGGGGCCATCTCTTATAACCCTCCCTCCCCAACTTTATAATGGAGGGTCTAAGGATGAGAGAGACTAACTGCTTGCCCAAGGTCACACATCTCCTCTCGTTCTTTACACATTTCTGGACTTGGCCTTGGTCCCATAGCCCATAGAGGTTCTACATAGGGACCTTGCCTCCATCGTGCCCAGGCATGGGACTCCAGACAGGCTGGCCCAGGTGGGCATTATTACCTTTGCAGCAGTACGTGGATGACTGGCAGTGCTCGTCAGGGAGTTTGGCGATGACTGTGTCCATGTCCATCTGCCGCAGGGTGGGCAGGTAGGGGTGGTACAGTTGCTGTTTCACCCCTGGGAGCATGTTTCTCCTTGGAGGTGTGGGGAACATGATGGCTGGAGACACATAAGCTTCAGTGGAGTTATCACTCCAAGGGACCAGGTCGATGATCCGAGCCATGGCTGGGAAACCCCGTGGTGAGATAAAACCAGATGACAAATATCCAGTAAGAAGACTGAGCTGAGACCACCAGAGGTCTTGACTCCTTCCAGACTCCTCTCCCTCCCACCAAGAATTGAGAAGCAAGAGAAGAAACAGAGAACAGGGCCTGAATGCTACTAGGTCTCCTTCATCTTCAGCCCCAGCCCCAGCCCCAGCTTCACTGCTCTCTTGGCCAGGAGTAGAAGGCTTTGATTCCCACAGCCCACCCTGACAATTGAAGCCCTAAACTCCAGAAAGGAGAGCCCCCAGGAGCCTGGTCCCGTCCCTATTCCTCTTCCTCATCCTCCTCTAAAATCCCCTCCTCTCTTTTCAAGGCTGAGGACACTCCTTGGCTCCCTCCTTTTCACTGCTGACTGGAAAGAAGGGAATCTATAATATCTAGCATTTATATCCTGGTATAAAATGCTTCCAAAGCTCTTTACATTAGTTGTCTCATTTGGTCTCTAAGGTAGGTGCTATTATTTTCCTAAATTTTTTCCCAGTTGGAGATGGACTAAAGCCTCCCTCTGGTCATGGGAACTCCAGATCACACTGAAGGCTTCACTCTGACTCCCATCCATGAACCAAAAAATGAGCAGTGAATTAAAAAGGAAAAAGAAACCCAGCTCAGGAGCTTCTGCGACATAAAAGGTTGAAGGAAGAAAATTCCTCCAGAAGTCCAACTTGAAGTATTGGTGGATGAGTTGGAAGATGCATCAGGGGAAAAACTAAATTGGTTATAAGTATATTAAAGGAATTCAAGGTAGATTCGAATTTAGTTCTTAGAAATATGCACAAAGTACCAACTAGGAAAACTGCAAAGTGATAGCTCCAACCTGAAAATCTTGGTGCCGGAGTCATATAGGAGAGTCACTTAAATAAAGCTGAGGTCATTAGATGGAAAAGCAAAATGGAAGAGGGAAGAGGCACCTTGGACTGCAACAAAAATGATGGAGGGACACACCAAATAAAATAATTTGGAATAATAATAAATTTGGAAAGCCAAAAAAGAAACACAAATATCAGATTAATTAGGGCTGAAGAAGATACTGGAAAAAGAAAAAATAAAGGCTAGATGCAGTATTTGAGGAACTAATTAGGAAAAAAATCTCCATGGTGGTCTAGATCATGAAGCACGAAAATGAGGGAAAATACAGGACAATGGCAAGAAGAAATTCTTGGATTCACCAACATCTATTATTGACCAATGAACATTTATTAGGTGCTTACTTTGTACCAGTCACCATGCCTAGCACTTGGTACATCCTGGTGCTTAATAAGTGTTTATTGACTAAGCACTGGGCAAAAGTTTAAAAAAACCAATCCCTGCCTTCAAGGAGCTCCCAGTCTAAAGGGGGAGAGAACTATGTACATACAAGACACATACAAGATAAACTAGAGGCAATCAACAGAGGGAAGACAACAGAATTAAGATAAAAGAGTAGACCAGACTACCCCAGGAGCAGGAGCAGAATTAGAATCAGAACCTGCATCTCTTGCTGCCAGTCCAACATTCTTTTCCTTGGTGTAGTATGATGGAAAGTCCTTCTCCAGTCCTGACTCCTATGCCATCGTCTCACAATCTCAGGCTCCCCCCTCAGAGGGGTAGGCACCCAAAGACATGGGAATCTTGAAGGGGGAGGGAGAAGGAAGAACAAAATCTGGACCACAAGGTCCTAGAATGGGAGGTGAATGTATAAAGTAGTCCTGAGGAAGAGTGCCATACTGGAAGGTTTTTGGAAACTAGCAGACATCATAAATGTACTGAGTGACCGAGCTGGCAAGGGAAGGCAGAGGAAGGTAATCAGTAAAAAGTCATAGGATGATGGGATTTAGAACTAAAAGAAACTTTAGGGACCATTGATCTCAACCCTTTCATTTTAAAGCTGGGGAAAATAAGGTCTAAAAGGTTAATAAGTAGCTCAAGCTGGCAGGAGTAGTTAAGTGGCAAAGTCAGAATTTGATAGCACTAAATTCCAAGGCCAGTGGTTTTTTCCCACCATTCTGATGCTAGTCCTGATCTATATCTGGCCACTGGACCCAGATGGATATGGAGGAGAAAGTGAGGCTGGTGACTTTGCACAGCCCTCTCACTCAAATCCAATTCAATTGCAAATCATGGCATCATCTTCCTGATGTCAAGGTCCTCTTTGAAAATGAAGGACAAATCATCACACCTCTAAGGGTTCAGAAAGGGAGGTGGGAGAAGGACTCAGAAAGGGAGATGAGGAGTTGCTAGTAACAAACCTTGCCTACTTTGAAATCCTCCAAAAGCCTGACTTCTCTTGACTTTAAAGAGGGAGATATCATCCAGGGAACAAGGAGTTCTGATGCGCTTGTGGGACAGGCTTCCAATTTTATCCAGTCACCATACGTCCAAGGAAGAAGCAAAGAAGTAGAAGGGAAGAAAGATCAATGCTCCAGCAGAAGGGCTTAAAACAAACAGACATTCTGAGGAGACAATATCTATCCTCTCTGAGTTCCTCCCATTGTGAGGTCTCCACCCCTGGTCCTTCTGTTTACTGATCCCCTTATTCACCAGGGCAACAGACAGCTCTGATCCAAAGTCTTTCCTGGGCAGGAAAGGCAAGGTTGCTAGGTTACTAGAGCTGTGTCACCAAAGTTACCTGGAAACTGATGACCTCTATTCAGTTCAGCTGAAAGGAAATTCTCCCCATTGGGGAGGGCTCTGGCCAGCTGCTACAGAGGACAAGAGAAGCTGTTCTTCAGGGGAATATGAGTCAGAGAACTGGGGGTGCTGCTGTGTTGTGGGGAGAGGGGGAGGATACCAGAGGAGGAACAGGCTCAGAGTCAACCCAGGGGAACCACAGTCACCCCACCCCTACCCCTAAGCAGTGCCAGGCAGAGCAGAATTCACCTGGTGGAGGCAGGCACAGAGAGGAGAAATTACTCTGCCCATGATGTTTGGGTGCCTATTGTCAAAATTTCACTGGATTCATCCCTTTGTCTCTTTGAGCCAGATCCTGAGCACATCCCAGGAATGGCAGCTGTCTGAGTCCAGCAGCATGGTCCAGGGCAAGCCTTCTCAAAAGAGGAGTTCAGAGAGAGGATCCAGGTAGACTTAGGTATGCCAGGCTTCTGGGTTGTTTAGGAGAGGTAGTGAGATGGAGTCTTCACGAGGGTCCTCAGACTTTTGGCAAGAAGTGACTTATTATTTCCCTAAATTTTAAAAATATTTGAAATGTATGATAAAGTTGGCAAAACAATCTACACACATGATCTAATTTGGGCTTCACAATCACTATGGGGGTTGGGGAAGAGGGGCAGGGGTTGAGGACCAGAACCCATTGTACCTGCTTGCCCTGAGCTGTGCTCATCCATGTCATCTAATGAATTGAACCCAGTGTCCACTTACCTTGAGTTCCCATCAGCTTTGCTTGGATACCAATAGACCAGGAGAGCTGTCCAGTAGGTGTCCTTCCTTCTCTCCATGTGAAACTTCTCCTGGGTAATTCCTTTATTTGCCATTTGCCAAAGCCCTCTCATGCCCACTGCACATGTCTTCATTGCTTTTTGGGAGAGCTTTAATTTTAAATTCTTCATGGAAGATAGTAATCCATGGCTCATAGACGCATATACATCTATACACACACACACACACACACACACACACACACACACACACACATATATGTATGTATGTATATTGCATCACCAGAAGAATGCGGTAGTTAAAAAAGGTGGGCTTTTGTTTCTAAAGGAACTGTGTGATTTCTTTTAAAATTTAATTTTATCCAATGCACAGAAATCTGTTTTCTCTCTCCTACCCCTCCGCCCCCATTGAAGAAGAAAGAAAAGGGGCAGCTAGGTGGCATAGTGGATAGAGCTCCAGTCTTGGAGTCAGAAGTACCTGAGTTCAAATCTGTTCTCAGACATTTGACATTTACTAGCTGTGTGACCCTGGGCAAGTCACTTAACCCTGATTGCCTCACCAAAAAGAAAAAGAAAGAAAAAAGATTTATTGGAACAAATATGCATAGTCAAGCAAAATAAATTCCTGTATTGTCCACATCCCAAAATTCCCAGCCTAAGGAAGGTAAGAGAATAAGCATTATATAGCACCTACTATGTGCCACGCACTGTGCTAAATGTTTTGTGAATACAGCCTCATTTTATCCTCAACAATCTTCCCAGGTAGGTGCTACCATGATCCTCATTTTACATTTGAGGAAACTGAGGTAGATGGAGGTTAAGAGACCTGCTCAGAGCCACACAGCTAGTAACTGTCTGAAGTTGGATTTGAACTCAGTTCTTGACTCAATGCCCAGTGCCCTATTCATTATATCATCTAGCTGCTTTTTGTCTACACCCATAGTCCATTACCTCTCTGTCAGGAGGTGGATGGCATGTTTCATCCTAAGTCTTCTAGAATCATGATTGGTCATGATCAGAGCTGAAGTTTTCCAGAGGCCACTCAATCTGTTCCCATCCTCTAGCTTAATTCTGGACTCAGCTGGCCTTCTATTTACAGTGTCCATTCCAGATATATAGGATGTCCCTGAAGCCTTAATACAGTTTTAAGCTGCGAAAGCTTGATGTTTTAAGTAGATACCACAAGTATTATCGATGTATTTTATAGAAGATGGAGTGGACACTATGAGAGGCTAAATGACCTGTCCAGCTGGTCAGCAGCTCTGGTGGGAATTGAATCCCAATTCTCTTTGACTTCAGGTCCAACATGCTATCTACCACAGCACACCTAGCACTATTACCAGCCTATCTTGGGAAGGTGGGTAGGGATGCTGAAAGTGACATTTTAGATCTGGAGAATGGTTATCATTGTTCCCCATAATCCTTTTCCCTAGTGGGAATCCTAACAAAGAGAAAGGGATGGAAGCAGAGTCAGACTTAAGGTTTTGTTAGAAAAGGCTCTGTGAAGCTTGGGACATCAGTGTCAGCATGTTGGACGCTGGGCTTTAAGTAAGGAAAGCTGACTTTGCTGCTTCCCAGCTGTGTGACTTTGGGTGAGTGACTTCCCCCTTCTGGGTTTCAGTTCCCCAATATGTCAAAGCAAGCTTGAGCTAGATAGCTAGATCATAGAACTGGAATGTACCTATGAGACCATCTAGTCCATTAATTACACAAATCAATTTTACAAGAAACCAAAACCCAGAAGATGACATTTAGTTGATCAGAGTCACACAGGCGGAATAATCTGGGAACAAAAATTTGGACCCAGGTTCTCTGACTTCTAAGCTAGTGCTGACCATTTCAATTCTAGGTACTATGATCTCCTTGTAGCACCCAGCCCGTTGGTCAGTAGTTGATCCTGTGGCCACCAAGCAGTGGAGTGTATAGGGTTCAGGACTTGGAGTCGGGAAGACCTAATTTCAAATTTTGCCTCAGACGCTAACTAGCCATGTGATCCTGGGCAAGTCAATTAATTTCTGTCTCACTTTCCTCATCTATAAGATGCAGATAATTATAGCACCTGCTTCCCAGGGTTATTGTGACAATCAATGAGATAATAAATGTAAAGTGTTTTGCAAACTTCAAATGCTATGTAAGTGCTAGCTATTATAATTTCTAAGGACCTCTCAGCTCCTAAAGAGCTGTTGCAAAATACAAGGTAAAAGATAAAATGAGGTGGTAGTTGTTTTTTTTTCCTTCTATGGAAAAGCAATGGGAGGATTGCCCTGAAAACTCGGCGGAAGGGGGAGGAGGGGGAGGAAGTGGGGTCTGGCTGGCTGCTTTCTTCACTGGGATGTAAACATAGTGCCTGGTGGAGATTAGAGACTGCCCGGGAAATCCGAGGTCAGCGGTAAAAGGATCAGGAAGATTGGCAGCCTCAGCAGGTCCTGGATTAGCTCAATGACACTCACTCTACCTTAGGCCTTCTGGAAATTGTCCCTTTTCCAGTTTTGTGACCTCAACAGGAAGCAGGGAGGAAGCTAGGGAGAGAAGATCTGGAGGGACAGCCTTCACCCCGTGCCGCTGGCCCCACAGTGCTTGGTCTACCGTCTTACCACTGAGGTCTTAGAGCAGGAAGAGACTTAATCCTTTTACAAATGAGGAAGCTGAGGGCTAGAGGAGAAATGATCCCCCCAATCTGCCTGTTCCTCTTGTTCTCCTTCCCCTCCTCCAACTCCAAGTAGTTTCTATAAGGGCAGAAGGAACGTGATTTGTATCCATGGCTCAGTGATGCTGTCTCTTCTCAGGCAGTTAAGAATGCCTTGGTTCTTTTCCCAAGACCTTTCATTTTTTGACAAATGTCTGCTCCCTTGTCTTATCTTCTCAACCCTCCTCTAGGACTGATCTTCCATTCCAGTGTCAGCTGCACATCCCTGACACCCCAACTGAGCACTCAACCTCCCACCCCAACACCTTCACAGTCTGACCCTCACCTTACCTTTCAAGGCATTATCTCCTAGCCAGGGCTTAAACTAAGAGCCCATGGACTGTGTGGTTAGATTTCAGGGAGTTCATGAGCTTGGATGGGGGAAAATAACATCTTTATTTCAATATCATTGGTTTCCTTCATAATCCTGTATATTTTATTTTATGCATTTAAAAGCAGTATTCTGAGATGGGGTCCTTAGGACTCACTGAACTGCCAAGATAATTTTAAGTACCCTTGTCCTAGATTATCCCCTCAGTGCATGCTGCACTCTGACCAAACCTGACTACTCACCATCCTCTGGCATGCCTTCTTTCTCCTAAGTCCCCACCCCTCTCCTTTGCTCATTCTATGCCATAAATACTCAATGGTGAAAGATTTGGCTCAAACTGCCACTTCTGAGAAGCCCTATCTTATCCCCTCCAGCCAGGAATGATCTCTCCTCTCCTCTCTTCTTCCCTTCCTTTCCCTTCTCCTCTCCTCCTCCTTCTATTTCTTCTTCTCTCTTCTCCTCTCTCTCCTCCTCTTCCTCCTCCTTTTCTTCTCTCTCTCCTCCTCTCTTTTCCTCTCCCTCCTCCTCCTTTTTTCTCTCTTCTCTTCTCCTCCCTTCTCTCTTCTCTTCCTCCTCCTACTTCTGTCTTCTCTCTCTTTTCCTTCCTCCCTCCCTTCCTTTCCTCCTCCTCCTCCTCCTCCTCCTTCTTCTACTTCTTCTACTTCTTCTTCTTCTTCTTCTTTCTTCTTCTTCTTCTTCTTCTTCTTCTTCTTCTTCTTCTTCTTCTTCTTCTTCTTCTTCTCCATCTCTCTCTCTCTCTCTCTCTCTTCCCCTCTCTCCCTCTCCATCTCTCTCTCTCTCTCTCTCTCTCTCTCTCTCTCTTTTCTCTCTCTCTCTCTCTTCCCTCTCTCCCTCTCCATCTCTCTCTCTCTCTCTCTCTCTCTCTCTTCCCCTCTCTCCCTCTCCATCTCTCTCCATCTCTCTCTCTCTCTCTCTCTCTCTCTCTCTCTCTCTCTCTCTCTCTCTCTCTCTCTCTTCCCCTCTCTCCCTCTCCATCTCTCTCTCCCTCTCTCCCTCTCCATCTCTCTCCATCTCTCTCTCTCTCTCTCTCTCTCTCTCTCTCTCTCTCTCTCTCTCTCTCTCTCTCTCTCTCTCTCTCTCCCCCTCCTCCCTCCCTCCCTCCCTCTCTCTCTCTCTCTCCCTCTCTCTCCTTTGAAATCTCCCTGAACTTGGATAGTGCCTGAGAGAGAAGCAACCAAAGTGCCCTTTCCAGCTCAGCCTGAGCAGGAGGAACCTCAGAAACCATCTAGTTGAACCCACACCCGAGTGGGCAGACCCTGCGTAGCCCCGTGGACACGCTCATCCAGCCTCCAGCTGAAGACCTCCACTGACAGACAGCTCCTTAAGTCGGTCTATTCCCTTCTACGGGTCAGGAAGCTATTCTTGGGCCATCTTCACCAGTCCTGGGTCTGCCCTCTAGGACCAAACAGGTCAAGTGTGTTTGCCTCTTTGCTGAGCATGTGAAGATAGTTATCATGCTTCCCCACCCCTCACCTCCACAACAGTCTTCTCTTCTCCAGGCTCAACATCTATTCCAATTAATTTTAATTTTTTTTTTACCATGTGGAGGGCAGCTTTTTATTTCTTCCACACAAAAGAAATGCTCAACACAAAAGACTGACAAATAGGCAATGACAAACACTGAAATAAGCACCAGCGACTTTGCTGTTATTCTCTTTCTGGAGGTTGACACTAAAATATCAGAACACAAAGCACAATAAAGTGTCTGCTATATCGGTATTTCACCTTCAGCTCAGCACTGAATCCCTCAGAAGACCATATTTTCTGACAAGCCAGGCTGGGAGCTGTGTTCTCCCTCTCAACAATGGTCATCTTCTCCTCTGACTCTGAGACTTCAGGCTAGTTACTTAAATTCTCAGGCCTCAGTTTCGTCACTTGTAAAATGAAGGAGTTAGATTAGGTGGCCTCAGGGGTTCCTTCCAGTCCTGGAGTTAGGCACCTAGGAGTGCTGTAGCAGCAACAGGGGGCACCTCCCGTAGAACAGTCAGCAGAACCCTTTCATTTTTACAGAAAAAGAAACTGAGGCCAGAGCAGAGGAAGTCACTTGCTCAAGATCTCAGAGCCAGGAGCAGAGACTGAATTCTCCTGATTGCCAGTTTGATATTTCCTCCACTGCATAATACTTCCCCCCCACAAGTTTCAGACATTCCTGGAGCTCTGATGTAAAGTTCAGCACTAGTACCCAATCTCTGAGGACCTAAGACAAGGAAAGGGGCTATAAAAGAAGGTTTGATATGGTAGCTGTTTGTGTATATGCCTTACAACCCAGATTAGATTGTGAACTCCAGGAAAACCAGGACCATACCTTATTCAGCCTTGAATCCCCCACTGTCTACTGGGCCTGCCAGAGTCTGGTAAATCTTAAACATCATATAATGCTTTTATAAAATTGTGTTGTTGTTCAGTCATTTCTAACCCTTTGTGACCCCATTTGGGGTTTTCTTTGCAAAGGTACTGAAGTGTTTTGCCATTTCCTTCTCCAGCTCATTTGACAGATGAGGAAACTGAGGAAAACAGAGTTAAGTGATTTGCCCAATGTCACACAGTGTCTAAGGCTGGATTTGAACTCAGGAAGATGAGTTTTCCTGACCCTGTGCCGCTTAGCTGCTTCCCTTTTATAAAATATAAAACATTAAACAATCATAATGATAGCTTGCATTTACATAGAGCTTTAAGGTTTTCATGTTATCTCATTTCGAAATTCACAATAACTCTGAGAGGTAAGTGCTCTGTTTTACAGATTGAGAAACTGAGGCTGAGAGAAATTAATTTGCCCAGGGTCACATCCATAGTAACTGTCTGAGATAGGATTTGAACTCAGATCTTCTTGACTCCAACAATCTAGTCAGCAAACATTTATTAAACATTTACTATGTGCCACATATTTTTTCTAGTAGCATAGAATGCTGGGCCTGGAGTCAAGAAGACCTGAGTTCAAATCTGACCTTATTTGCTGTGTGACCCTGGGCAAGTCACTTAGCCTGTTTGCCTCAGTTTCCTCATCTGTAAACTACTCCAGTATTTTTGCCAATAAACAACCCCCTCCTCCCTCATGTGATCAGGAAGAGTCATACATAACAGAAACAACTGAACCACAGGTACTTTCTCTAAGTACTGGAAAAACAAAAACAGGCTTTGAAAGATTGTCTTAGTCTTTGCTCCAGGGGAGCTTACATTTTTTTTTCTTTTTTGGTGAGGTGATCAGGGTTAAGTGACTTGCCCAGGGTCACACAGCTAGTAAGTGTTAAGTGTCTGAGGCTGGATTTGAACTCAGGTCTTCCTGACTCCCAGGCCAGAGCTCTATTCACTGAGCCATCTAGCTGCCCCCAGAACTTGCATTTTAATTGTAAGACAATACTTAAAAGAGATTGAAAAGGGAGGAGGGTAGAAAGTCCTGGCAGGGACAGGAGTTCTAGCTTGGAGATGAAGTCATGGCTGGTCTGGGGCTCCTCCCTAAAATGGAGGGTCTGGAGGAAGCAGCCAGTGAGGGGGAGAGGCTGGAGGCAGAGAGGGTCCTCACAATGGGAGAAATAGTCCAGGGATGGAGTGGGCTTCCTGGGGTGCCATGTGGGCGGTCAGGAGTGCAGTCTATCCACTGGGCCAAAAAAAATGTTTGTTGAATGAATAAATTAATTAACTTAGTCCCTCCTCTTCCCCCCTCCTCATTCTCACTTGGGGGATGGGGAATTTTTAAACGCCCGCCCTTAAACCCTTGAAAGCTCCTAAACCCAGGATCAGTTTCCCCCTCTCACATAAAGCCTGTGGCTTTGCCGACACTGTCTACTCTCTCTTCACTGGCCTAAAGTGAGGGCACTGTCAGCCTTCTCTGGAATGGTGCCCTGCGGCCACAGCTCACGTTCTCCTGGGTAGAAGAGACCTGTTCTCCCTTCCTGAATTTTTGCATTGAGGCTTCTGAAAGATCTGCAAGGCTCAAACAGAGATCCCTCTACACCCCCAGTATAGGAATACTTGCTCCTGTTCCCACTTCCAGCAGGCTTTCTCCTCCCACATCCACTCAGTGTTTTCTTAAATCATCCTGGGCCCCAGAGTCCCATCCCTTCACATCAAAACTTGGCCACGGGTGGCAAGGGACACCTCCCCACCCACACTCTGAAGACAGAGTCTAAACCCCTCAGTGATGTCCCTAGACCTTTTAAACACCTTAGTTGGTCACAGTAGCCTACTAGATCCTTTCTCCTCTGAGATGTGGCCGAGCCCTGGATCAGTGGGGTGTTGTGGTGAGGGGCACAGGCAGAAGATTCCCTTTCTCTGTTGTAGGGTGACCTCAGCCCCCCATAGTGACAGCTACTTTTGTCTGGTGTCCCAGTATTATCACCAGATCCATCCCCATTAATCTCCTTTGTGGGAAGGCCCCTTTCTAATCCCATCAGAGCCCTTTGAGGCTTGTATTGGGAGCAACGTGGACCAGTGGCTGGGCACTGTCAGACCAGACAAGGTAACTGCTTGGGGACTGTGATTTTCTCTGAGCTTGAGAGAAGGGGAACCTCTAATTTTAGGGGTGGGGACAGAAGGGAGGCTCATTGGCCAACCTCCCATAGCCTTCTGGAACTTCTCAGGATCTCTGGGGAGACTCTTATCTCCCAGAAGAAGAGGCAAGGAAGGATGGGGTGGCCAGTGGGGCAATGCTGAGTTACTGCAAGCCTGACCCTAACCTTTGTGTTTCATTCTCTGGGGTCCTACAGAAAGGAGAACTTGCCCTCCCATCTGCACTGGCAAAGTCTCCTAGGGTCAAAATAGACTTCCTTGTTAGTCCCAGAGGAGGTCAGTTACTTTCCCCTGTGGCCCATTTGTTGGGAAGGAGATGGGAGAGAATGTGGAAATGGAGGGGATCTGCCCAATTTTATGGGCAGGAGAATGTCAGGAGAGGTAGTAGAGAAGCCCTTACCTGAGTCAGCTGTCTCTATTTCCAGGCCAGGCTGGAGAGGAAGTGAAGGTTGGATCAAGAAAAACCAGGGAAAGCAGAGTCATAGAATTTAAGGGTCCTAAGTGAACCCCAAAGGTCACTTAATTTGACTTTGACCAACATTTGAAACTTCTATAGCATCCCTAAAAAGTGGCTACCCAATCTCCACTTGGAGACCTTCTGTGATGGGGAACTCACTCAACTTTTCTAGAATCCTTTGTTAAGCTTTTCCCTTTGCTTCCATCACCTTCTAGCATGTATCATACTTACTTATGTCATCCCTGTCGTCTCCCTCCCACTGGCTTTCTTCTTATCACCGTCATCAGTGTAGTAAGCACATTCAGTCCAACAAAGCTTAAGAAACTACTGTGTCCTAAGGTACTTTACTAGGTGCCCCCAAAGAAAATAAAAAATAAAACCCCAAACAATTCCTGCCCTCAAGGGTTTATTCTCCAGGGGAGATACTACAGGTAGAGAAGAAAGTAAATGAAGATTGCATCCAAAGTGTCTTCAAGAGGTGGGGGACAGGATGATTTCTATGGAGGACAGCTAATGGCACTGGAGAGTGGGATGTGAAGGCAGATTAATGTAAAGTTATACTGAAAAGCGAAGGTATGGGAGGGCTTGAAATGTCAGCTGAGGGATTAGTGTTTTGTTCATAGGGGGAAAGAGGGACCAACTGAAGATTTTTGAGTGGGGGGAGAGGATGAGGTGACATGATCAGATGTGGATTTGTGGAATATCAGTTTGGGGGTTGCATGGAGGATAGGGAGGGAGGGTCAAGTCTGGAGTCATGGAAACTAATTAGAGGGAAGAGCTGAATTGAGTCTACAGCACTGACAGTGGTAATAGCCCATTGCCCAAATAGGAACTACCCAATAGGCAAGTCACTTCACTCTGCCTCAGTTTCCTCACCTGTAAAATGAGCTGGAGAAGGAAATGGCAAACCACTCCAGCATCTCTGCCAAGAAAACCCCAAATGGGGTCACAGAGAGTCAGATACAACTGAAAACGACTCAACAATAACAATAATAATAGTAATAATAATAATAATAATAATAATAATAATAATAATAGATATTTAATGAGTGAAAAAATGAATGAGTAAATAGTCCCCTGAAGATTAGGAGGGAAACAAACCAAAGAAGGGAGGTAATAAGATTGAGAGTTCAGTTGGGATTCACTGCCTAAATTCAACTTAACTTTCCCTGTCAGGGTCCTCAGTATCTTCATCCTATCCCTGTCTCTTCTGTTGAGGAAAGTGTCTGATAAACTATGTTGCATTCCCGTGAATGACTTTTAAAAGATACAGTTTAAAGGAAGGTAATGGGAAAGGGCTCTGTTCCTTCCAAGGAAATAACTCCATAATGCTAGCATTTTAGGCACCGGAGGGAGAGATGCTTTGGGGATGTGTTCCATAGCCTGAATCAGAGCTTAGATCGGGTCAGAACTACGACAAGAGTGCCGTGTCCTCGCCTTTGGCCGAGGGCTCCAAATGCGGAGGGCCCAGCCAGCACTTGTACGAGTCAGCAAGTAGAAGCAACCAGGCTTAGCACAAGTAAGAGAGCTTCCAGATGGCCCCTTCAATCCTCTCCCTCTCTACCGAATTGTCCCCAGGTGGGCTCCGGCCTAGTCCTGACACAGCCGGTATCTTCCCTGGGGCAGCCTTCTCAGAAAGAGCTCTGGATATCTCCACATCCCTTTCCTCAGAGGCTGGTGTCCTCAGTGCCTCATGGGACCTTGTGTTCTGAGGTCCCTGGTGTCTCTGTCTTTGCCTCCCATGTCCCTTTATCTCCCTGCAGCTGAATTTCTCCTAAAAAGTTAGTTTCAGGGCAGCCAGTGTTTTATGCCAGTACTTCTAGTTAAAGTTCTGGAGAGGCAAATTCAGGATTATAGCATCACAGCTTTAGAGGCAGAAGGGGCCTTAGAAGCCACTGAGTCCAACTCTCCTATTTACATTTGGGGAAACTGAGGCACTGGGAGTTTAACATGACTTGCCCAGGAGGACATACCTAATAAGCATCTGAGGTGGGATTTGAGCTCAGGTCTTCGTAACTCCAAGACCAGTGCCCTACCCTCTGCACCATGCTGCCTCAGAAATCGTTTAGCTCGCGCAATGAGGTGCTCAAAGTCACACAGGGAATAAGTAACAGAGACAAGTGAAAGTTCATGGCCAAGTTCAGTAGCCAGAGTGATCGCGTTGAGGGATACAGAGGGTCAAACAGGGTGATTAATTCATCAGGTTCTTCATTAATTTGGTTTCTAGACCCCTAGAGGGGAGCAGCAGAGTGTGAAGGAACCAGAATCCGGAGCCTCAGGGAGCGTGGAAACAGAGCCTGGGAAGGGAGGGGGCTCAGGCCTGTACCCCTCTGGCGGGCTTCCTTGTCGCATTGTTCCTTATGCTTCTCTGACTTCATGAGGTCAGCTACCTTGTCTTAGCTAAGCTTTGAATCACCCCGACTAAGGGCCTGAATGACAGATGCTTGGGAAATGTTTCTTGAATGAATGAATAAATCAATGAGTTGGTGAGGAGGGAGGGTGTGACAAGAGGTGCTAGGGTGTGAGCTTTGGGGATCTGTGAGTGCTTTATGTGGCCTAGGCAAGGGGTGGGGAACCTGTGGCTTTGAGGTCCTCAAGTGCGACCCTTTAACTGGAAAAAAAAAGGGCCACAGTTGAGGACCTAGAGGGCCACGTGTGGCTTGGAGGCCACAAGATTCCGCACCCCAGGTGTAGACTTCTCTAGCCAGGCCTCCTGGATATAGCTCTAGCTAGTTCAAGGGATGATACTCCTCGCTGCTATGCAGAGTAAGTGCAGTATTAGGTTTGAGGTTCTGGGTTCTAAAGCTGCTATCGAGGCCAGCTGCTTCATTTTACAGACAAGAAGGCCAAGGCCCAGAAAAGTTGGGTATCTAGACATGTCGAGGCGACTTTCTCACAGTCATATAGGTAGTAAGTGGCTGAGCAGGATTTGAACTCAGGTCTCCTTGACTCCACATTCAGTATTTCCCCCCCCCTTTTTTTTTTAGGCAATTGGGGTTAAGTGACTTGCCCGGGGTCACACAGCTAGTAAGTGTCAAGTGTTTGGTCTGAGGCCGGATTTGAACTCAGGTCCTCCTGACTTCAGGGCCAATGCTCTATCCACTGCGCCACCTAGCTGCCCCTCAGTATTCTTTCCATTGTATCAACTGGACCTCTATTCATTGAATCATAATCAGAGAAATGGTCATACATGGAATGGAGTTTGGGGAGAAAGGGAGTCAAAAGAACAATAGGGAAAGTGGGGACTGCTTCAGCTCTGTCTCCCCTGATAGGGATAAAAGCGATCCTTTGATCTGTCCCAGAATGGGAGTTTGACCCACTGGGGCTCCCAGCAGCCCCCAAAGGTGGGAGGCTGCCATTTCCAAGTTCAGGCCTCTGTGGCAGATGGTATGGGCAACAGATGGCCAGGGGAAAGCCTGAGGAACAAAGTCTTCTCCCTCCCTCGAGGTGAAGGCATGTTGAGCTGGATTGAGAGGGTGCTGCCCCAGCCACCGAGCACCCCTCAGAAGATCGGGGCAGGAGAAGAGGCGAAATCGGATCTGGAACCAGCACCAGCAGAACCAGAGGTGAAGGAGGATCAGCCCGTGAGGAAAGAGGAGCCTGAGCAGGTAAAACTGTGCCTCCGCAGCGCCCTCTGCCGCAGCTCCCAGTCTGAGAGAGCGCTAGAAGAGAAGCTCATTTTAGAGATGAGAAAACAAAGCCCAGAAGGGCGAAAGGTCTGGCCACACAGCGAAGTGTCTAAGGTGGGATGCCAACCCAGGTCTTCCTGACTCCAAGTCTAGGACTCCCTGGCTACCTCGGAAGGCAGGTGGGAGGAAGCTGCTAAAACATGGCACAGAAGGCCAGCTTCCCCAAACAAATAACAGCTATTTTTATGTCACCTTCATGTTTGCTCATAATAGTCCTGTGATGTCAGCAGCGATGGTAGCATTACCCCCATTTTACAGATGAGAGAAGTGAGTCAGTCAGCCTGGTCTGATGCCATGACCTTCAGCCACAGCAGTCTTAGACTCCCAGGTGCTGCTGAGTCCTTTCTTTTCTCTCTTTCCCTCCTCTTGCCCCCTACCCAAATATCTCCATGGGGCCCATTTCTGTTTAACCCGGAGCCTTGGGAGGGTGGCTGAGGATCCTGACCCCTTTCTGTTGGACTTTCGCTAGGCTCCAAAGGAACCATCTGGATGTACAGAGATGCCTCCCCAGTGCAGCAACCCGGAGGGTGAGTCCGCAAAAGCTCCCCAAGTGGCCTCTGAGTCACTGCCTTGAGAGCCTGGATGAGGAGGGATAGAAGCTTAATGATAACAACCCCTCCTACTAACCTTTTTGGGCAGATGGATTTGGGCCACCCCATTCTGGCGGTCTCTCCAGCTGAGCCAACCCCAATCTCCTCTGTTTTGTTCAAAGCTACCCAAAAGAGCGGTTCGATGACTCGGGAAGGCCGGACTTCAACATCATGCTTTTTTTTTTTCCCTAGTCCCCCAGGAGACTGTGGAGATGCTGCCTACATCTGCTTCAGCCCAAGTTCCTCTGGCTCCTGGGAACGGGTACCTGCTCTCCCAAGGGATTAATACCCTGCCAGGGGCTGCTGCTGGAAGAAGACAGATGCTTTCTGGTGGGGGGTGGGGGCACAGGGAGGCTGGATGGGAAGCAAAGCCCTCAGCTTTTATGGGCAAAGACCGCAATGATTTTTTTTAACAGCTGCCAATAGGTGGAGTGTTGGCCTTTCTTAGGGCCGAGCACCAAAATTAGAGTGGTTGCACAAAATCAGCAACCTCTCTGATCGATCTTCCATACCACAGTCAAATTGATACTAATAAGGAATAGGTCTGCCTAGGTCACTCTCCTTCTCAAGAATCTTCAATGTCTCCTGCTTGCTTCTGAGATGAAACAAGAGTCACTCTGTTCAGCATTTAAAGCCCTTTACAATCTGTCCTCCTAAGATAGAGGTGGGGAACCTGTGGCCCGGAGGCCACCTGGGGCCTTCTAGGTCCTCGGGTGCAGCCTTCTGATGGAGTCCAAGTTTGAAAGAACGAATCCTTTTATGAAGGGGATTTGTTCAGTGAAGTTTGGATTCACTCAAAGGGCTGCCCTTGAGGATTTAGAAGACCACATGTGGCCTCGAGGCTGCAGGTTCACCACCCCTGGCTTAGGCCATCTCCCACGCTCAGAATGCAATCGTTACCTGCTTACCCTTAGAATCCTCACTTCCTTCAAAACTCATCTCAAGAGCCACTCTTACAGAAATTCTATCCTAATTCTCCCCACCCATCCCAGTTGATACTGCCGCAATGAAATTACTTTTTATATGTGTATATGTCTTCTCTCCCTTCCCTCCCCCATCCCCATATTGAATATTTCTTGAGGACTTTGTCTCCTGTTTTTGCATTCGTAGTACCTGACACACAGTAGGCCCCTCATACGTTCTTGTTAATAATAACAGCTAGTGTTTATATAGTGCTTTAAGCTTTACAAAGCGCTTTACAAAAGTCATCTTATTTGATTCTCAAAACAACCCTGTGAATTGTACCAGAGGCAGGATTTGAACTCGATTCTTTGGATTCCAAATCCAGCGACCCCTGGATGCCGCCGTTTAGGCCGAAGGTGCAGTTTCTAACGTCCTCCAGCTGTAAATCCTAGATGTTATTGCTCCTTGCGGTATGAGGTTTTCATGGGCTGGAATGAAGTCCAAGTTCTAGAACCAGAAGGGTCCTCTGAGACAAATCATCAAATCCTGTTGTTTCATTTTATAGTCTCAGAATGGTTGAGTCACACACATAGTAAGAGGCAGAGTATGGACTCAGGTCCTGTGTCTCCATTTCCAGCAGTCAGGGAGGACTTTCTGGAGTACATAGTACTTAATCTAGGCCTTAGAAGATTGAGGAGAGCTGTCCCTGGTCTGGGGGTTGCAGGGTCTTCATTGACTAGAGGCATGTACTGGGGATAATGAAGAGACTGGTCTGCCTGGAGACAGTGTTTCTAGTCCAGGAGGCTGTGGGAGCTGAGTTTGGAGAGGGAAGGTGGGTCAGTTGCCAGAGGGCATTGGGATGGCTGGGAGGAGGGCCACAGCCTACTGGTGATGAGTGTGGGAGGAGGGGGCAGTGTCCAGAACTTAATTCTAGTTCTTAATCTTTATTATGTCATGACCCCCTTTTGCAGTCTGGTGAAGTTTATGGACTCAGCAGCATAATGTTTTTAAATACATAAAATACAGCAGAAATTACAAAGGAAACCAAATATGTTGAAAGAGAGATGGAAATGTTTTCCCACCCAAGTTCACAGAATCCCTGCAACCTACCCTTGCTTATGAACCTCTGGCCTAGAAGATGCACAGTGGTGGGAGCGGGGAGTGATGGAGAGTGGACATGTGGTGGCCGCACCTAACTGCTCTCCTGGTTCTTGTCCTTCCAACAGTGCCAGTGGATGGGTCCTGACCTTAATGACAAAGGGGCTCCAGAGAGTGGTCCCACAGCCTCCCCAGGCCCTGATAGTCCAGAATGTGGAAAGCAACACCAATGTTCCTGACCAGGTACCTGAGGGGAACCCAATGGGAGGTACTGGTGCTAAGATTCCTGCCTTGGTGTTCTTTGAAATGGGAGATAGCTTTAAGGCAAGTAGTCTTGAGCCTTTCTGGGTTATCTGTCCCCCTGCAGGCTGGAGCACAGACCCTTGGGAATGAAGAAACATCAGGCCCAGGTAAAGACATATTGAACTGTTGCTTTCCTCCCTTCTTCCTCCCCTTCCTTCCTTCCCTCTGTGACAGGAGAAATATGAAATAACTGAGTTTAAAAAGGTCTGAGCTTCCAAGCATATCTACTTATTGACAGTGTATGCCAATTGCACAGCAAATCAGGACCAGACCTCCTCAGCTTGGCACTGGACCCCAAATACAGGGAGAGAGATTTTCACATATAAAAAAAAATCAATTAATGGGATTAAAAACCAGGATACAAGATTAGGTAATCTGATTTCTAATTGGAAGAAAGATTAGGGATTTTCCAAGTTGCAAGGAAGGAAGAATAAACAGGTGCAATTCCCTGAAATCAGAAAAAGAGGCGCCCCACTCCCCCCAGGCATCTGCATTTAATCAAAGGAAGGAGGAAACAGCAACTAATTGACCAATATGGGTCCAGTTTTCAGATAAGACATATAGACTGCTTGAGATGTACAACTGTGAGAAAATTCTTTGCATCAGTCTTTGGATCTGACCAGGTTTCTGATCAGTAAAACCTGGGTCCTTCCATAAGGGTCTGTGGGGAGTGGGGAGCAGTGGGGAGAGGTGGTCCAGCTTCTCAGCCACGTAGGGTTAGGTTCAAACAGTGCAATACAGTTTTCTTACAATTCCCACAACTAAATAAAGTTTTCTCACAGGAGAGAATCTGGACTAGATCCATAATTGCATAGAAAAGGAACTGAGCTAGCTCCAGAATTGAGTCACAAGATAGAGTCAGTTTGGTTCACAATTCTCACAATTCCTCCCTCCCTCCCTCCCTTCCTTCCTTCCTTCCTTCCTTCCTTCCTTCCTTCCTTCCTTCCTTCCTTCCTTCCTTCCTTCCTTCCTTCCTTCCTTCCTTCCTTCCTTCCTTCTTCCTCCCTTCTTCCCTCTCTCCCTCCCTTTCTTCCTTTCTTTTCCTTCTTTCCTCTTCCCAGCTGCTGCTTCTTCCTAAAATCATAGCCAGACACTGTCTGAAGGAACCTTAGAGATAAGCTAGTCCAACCCCTTCCTTATACATGTATATATGTACCCACACATACACACAAATGTATATATAATACATATCTGAGGCACATATATATATACATAACACACAATAAATGTGTAGATATACACACATGCAGTACATGTCGGTGTATGTCCACACATGCATATACACATGTACATGTATATATAGATGTATTGTGTGCATACAGATATGTATGTATGGCATGTAAGTGTCTATACTATATACAAACATGCACACATAAACACATGTGAATACATATTACACACACATATATATGCACATATACACATACAGAGAGAGAGAGAGGGAGAGAGAGAGAAACTGGGACCCAGAAAGGCAGTGACTTATATAAGGTCACACAGCTAACTAGTGGCGTAGTAGATATTGGAACCTAGACCTTCTTACTCCCTACCCAGACTTTCCCCCAGTATATCATGCCTGTCTGGAGGCTGACTGGAGGGCCTTACTAGATCTTAAGAGCAATAGCAGGGTCATATTGACTTGTATCTCCCCCAGGGGCTAGCACTAGGCTTTGCTAAAAGTAGATGTTCAATAAACATTTATTGATTGATTGAATGAATGACTGTCAGGGATGGTCACTGGGTAGAGCAGGTGGCCACCTCTGTCGTATAACATGGGGGAGCACTGAAAAACCCTCCTCCCCATCCCATATCTCTTCCTATTCATCCCTTATAGGATCAGAAATGTTACTTAAATCTTTCTACTTGGCTAAGGCATTATCTTTAGAACATCCCTGCCAAAATCCTGCTGTGTTGTCTGGGATAAAAGATTGGACCCCACCCCACCCCACTCTGAAATATGGAGTAATTTTGTTTTTTTTTTTTCATCAAGTTATCTGATTTACTCTAGTCACTTGGTAGGGCTCTGAGGGGGGGCCTACAAGAGAGATATCAGTTTCTATCTATACCTATCTATCTATTTTATGTAAATATATGTCAACATGTACATATACACCCCATATGGAAAGAGAGAAACAGAGACAGACAGACAGACAGAGACAGGGAGACAGAGAAGAGGAGAGGGAAGAGAGAGACAGAGAAAGAGAGAGAAGCAGGTTTCTTTTCTGAATGAGGTTAGTTTGCAGTGGCTGTTACCAGTTCATGTGTTCCCTGGGCACACGCTAATCAACGTGTGAAGAGGAGGCCTAGTAGTGAAAAGAGGGAGCCAGCCTTCACTTCACCTCTGAAATGGATAACGTACCTGGTGAGGCACCAGGGGTGTGGTGGATTGAGAGCAGTCAGGATTTTGCAGCCAGGCAGATGGGGTTTCTGACACATCTGACATGTATTGATTGATTATGGGAAAGTCACTCAGCCCTTTAGGGTTCTGGGAAATCTCTAAGACACCTGGAAGTCCCTGCATCAGTGGAATCTCAGATACAGTCCTAATCCCTAGTACATATGGATAATGAAGAGCTGATCACTTGTTCTGTCCCAACCCTTCTAAGGTATCTTGCCTTCTGAGAGTGAGCGTAAGGTCTCTAAGACAAAGGGACTATCTTTTTAGCTTTTGTGCAGCCCAGAGTCCCCAGGCACCCACACTTTGATCCCTTTTGGGTTATTATCCTTACAGGGTTGGCACCAAATGACAACATTGACAGCCAGGACAAGGGGTAAGTCTCCAAACCCAAGACCCCAGAGATCTGGACCTCCGTTGTGGGGAATCTGGTGCCTTCAGAGGCATGAGTGCCTTCTCCATGTCTTTCCATGTGACTCCTGGAGGGCAGTCAGAGAGGGCTCTGAGTATTCCAATGGGTTAGACAGGTTGGGTGTCTTACAGGGAGATGGGGGCTTTGGAGGATCTTCTAGCTGGACTTTGTTCTGACAGTCTACGCCCTGGCTCTTGGTCAGTGTGATGTCTAATAGAAGCCCTGGACTGAGAGTCAAGAGACAGAGGAGGCAAAGGGAGGGTAGCTAGTCAGTGGCCAAGTTGAGGCTTGAACCCAGATCTGAACCAGTGTTGTTTTCACTACAACATGCTGCTCTATCTTTTACATTCCCTGCATAGGGGGCTTATTTGTGTTACTAGACTGGTATAGAGGTGTATGGGGTGTTCAGGAGGACCAGCACCTTTGGTGTGAGGGCCACTGAGCCCTTTTCAAGGCTCCTCATCCTCCTTTGGTGTCTACCTGTCACCCAACTCTCACCTGTGGCTCCAAGAAGCTATAGCATGCACACTGGCTACACCTTGGCAAACCCTCTCAGTAGAAGGATGAAACCACCTTGAGTATGATGGACAGGCTCAAATCCAGCAGTGAGTTAGGGGGATGTCTACCTCAAGCATGTAAAGATTTCTCCTGGTGGAGTGGGCAGATCAGAACATTAGTTCCAATGTCCATGAAGGAAGCTAAAGCAGGCACTGTGGAGCACTTAGAGCTTGGTCAGACATGGAGGATGCCAAGGTCATTCACTACATCCCGGGCTATTGCCAGCTGTCTTGACTTTTCTCCTGCCACTGGGCTTTCGTGACTCTGGAAGAGAGTGAGGCTGATAACTTTGTGCAGCTCTGCCTTACTTCAATCCGTTCACTCACAAGTCAAGACATGACCCTTTGATGTCACTGGTTTTCATCAAAAATGAAGGATAAACAACAACAGCAGAGGCATAAAAGAAAGCTAGGAGTCAAGATAGAACCCAACATTGGCTGGGATGCAAGCCGGAAGGGGATTAATGCTGCCTATTAGCTATTTAGGTGGCCTGGAATCAGGAAGACCCGAGTTCAAATGTTCATGAGCTGTGTGACCCTAGGTGAGTCACTTAACCTCTGTCTGCTTCAGTTTCCTCAACTATCATATGAGGATAATAATAGTACCTACCTCCAAGGGTGGTTGTTAGGATCAAATGAGAGAATATTTGTAAACCCTGGCACATAGTAAGTATTGATAAATGCTTGTTTCCTCCCTCCCCTCTCCTTTGCAGGACTGGAAAAAGAGTCCTGAAGTGGCTGGTGCAGGGTTTGGAGAAGTATTACCACAGCCTCCACCCCAGCTCTTGAAAATTTCTGAGGTGAGCAGGAGGATGACCTTCCCCTGGGGCAACAGGAGTGGAACTAGTGGGAACAGATAACCTGCGTGCCTCACCCAACACACAATGCATAATTAGGGTGGGGTGATCTGGGCTTTATCCTGGGCTACCAGATTTAGAGAGTGCCTGTGCTTCTTTTTAGAGTTTCTATGCTTTTGTGGCATAGAAACAAGAAGTTAGCACCTAGTTAGAATTAGCTTACAAAAGGAGCTTCTTGGTGGCATGATGCCAGGGTGAGCTTTTCCCTCACCTCACCCAGCAGGGGCATCAAGCCAGCTTCCCATCTTCTTTGTCTCTCAGCCATGGGTCTTGATTCATTTTCTGTCCCCTCTGTTCGAAGGCACCTTTTGGCGGCTTGCTCTAAGGGAGAATTTGCAGCCCATGTGCAAAGGATTCCTAGCCATAATTCCAATCCCATCATCCACAGCTCTGTCAATACTTTAAAGCAGACCAGTGTTAGAGGGAAGGCTTGGTGGGCTTCTCAAAGGAGCAGTAGTCTTATAAGACCTCTTCGTTCTAGCTGCTTCAGACAAATGATGATGCCTCAGTTTCCACATCTGTAAAATGTGAGGGTTAGACTAGAAGATCTCTGAGGTCCACAGGCTGAAAGTGACTAGGCTGCTGGTGCTATGTTAAGAGGCGTTTTCACATTGGCGTTGAAGAAGGGACACCCAGACCAACAGGGCAATAGTGTCCACCCTCTGCCTGACCATGAAGAAGAAGCAGAAAACTCATAGGAGACATTGCAGATCATCTTGTCTAACCATCACATTGTACAAATATGGAAACTGAGGCACCAGGAAATTGAGAAGCAACCTCAAAATCCTCTAGTCTAACTCTCATTTCATAGATTTATAAACTGAGGCTCCCAGAGGTTGAATGACTTGCCCAAGGTCTCATAGCTTAGGAAGTGTTGGGGATAGGTTTCAAACTCAGGTCTCCTGAATTCTAATCTTGTGTTCTTTCCACTAACTGGCCCTACCTCAATCAGCAAATCTTTGTTGAATGCCTACTATGTGCTCAGCCCTATGCTAAGCCAGGTACACTGTAGGAGAATAGCAGAGGGGAAGTAAGGCACATTGTAGGGGAATGGAAGAGACGGAAGGATGTTCCTTACCCTTTTATATGCAGGTGACAATTCAAAGACAGCACAAGGTAGAATAGTATCCAGAATAATGATGTTAATAGTGGCAAAGGAGTTCAAGAAGGGAGATATCCATGTATAGTTGAAGTAATCAGGGGTGGAGCAGCTAGGTGGCGCAGTGGATAGAGCACCAGCCCTGAAGTCAGGAGGACCTGAGTTCAAATCCAGCCTCAGATCAAACACTTAGCACTTACTAGCTGTGTGACTCTGGGCAAGTTGCTTAACCCCAATTGCTTAAAAATAAAAAAAAAAAATGAAGTAATCAGGGGAATCTTCTAGGAGGAGGTGTGGACCTGGGACTGGCTTTAAAGGATGGGGATGATTCCAATATTAAGAAGAAAACAGGAGAGGCCATGCCATGTAAAATCCAATATAGGAATTTTTTTCTCAGGATATTAGAATTTAGAGCTAGATGGGACCTTAGAAATTGTTTTCCCTATTCTCTCCCTGCCATTTTAGAGATAGGAAGACTGAGGTCCAGAGAGGTTGAGTGGTCACATAGGTAATAGGTGGAAGAACTGGGTCCAACCAGTCATACAAGGAAGAAGGGGGATTTGATCCCCTGAATCCTCAGACTAGAGCCAGGTCTCTTTCCACTGTATCACACTTTCCTCTCTTGATGGATACAGTGAAATAGGGAGGAGATCAGGACAGGATTAGGCAGATATTACAGTTTTCTAGTAGTTTCACACTTCCTGAGTTAAATCAAATCAACACGCATTTATTAAGCACCGACTGTTTGCTAGGCATGGTGCTAAGTGCTGAGGTTACAAGAGAGGTGAAAAGACAGTCCCTGTCCTCAAAGAGCTTACATTGTAATGGAGGTGACAACAGGCATTTAGAAAGGCTTACTTTCCTCAATCCACACTACGAGGGTGTATGTTCACATCCACCTTTGCTTATTTGTGAGCATGCGTGTATGTGATCATGGCAAATTTAGTGAGACCAAAGCTTTCACCTTTGACCTAAATGGGTCCAAGTCTTATTAGCTATGTGCTCTTGGGCAAATCTTTTCTACTCTGTGGACCTCTGAACTGGGTAGGACCCCTGGTGTCCCTTCTGGCCCTGACATTATATGACGGACAAATAGATGGCAATACTACATTCCTGGGACCCTGATTTAGCTCTCTAGTTTTCTCACCCCTTAATCTCTCATGAGGTCTGGAAGCTTGGGTATAAGCATTACTCCAGCAAGCCTTGTGGGGATTGAGGGCCCCCAAAATTACATGGTGGCCATGTTGTCTGGAAGTGGGGAGCATTCATAAAGTGAGGTATTGGTTAGAGGCATTTTTAGAGCCCCCAGCAGTGGGCTGACCTTTGTACAACCAGCCTGAGCTCTGAGTTCATTTCACTGAAGTCTGCAAAATCTCTTTTCATCCCCCAGCTGTCCTGGGTCTGTGTTTTGTGTGTGTGTGTGTGTTTGTGTGTGTGTGTGTGTGTGTGTGTGTGTGAGGATCATTAGGTGCCCAGGGGTGGGGGCTGGACCCTTTGACCTTGTCCTCTATGATTGGAGTGGATGGAAGTTTCCCAGTAATCAGTGTTCTTCCTGTTGATACAGGCAGCCTGTACTGGGCTTGGAGAAGCAGCTGCAGAATCAGGTGAGGCCCATGATGGACGAGCTGACAGCTCCTGCCTGGGTGTGGCTTAGCATTGAAAGCATCCAGGGAAGTTGAGGGGAGAGGGGTAACTGGCCTGGACAGGTAACAGGTACTCTACTTGTCTAGAGCTCAGCCAGCTTGGATTAGACCTGGGAGAAGGGAGTGCTGAGCAAAGTCAAACTAGGTGTTTCTTGGGTGGAGTGGGGTGGGGGAAGGGGCTTGATAGATGGTGTTTTTCCAGACCCATTCAGGTGTGCTTGGGCAGCTCAAACCCTGACCCCATCCGTGCTGTCTTTGGTTCTTCTCTTTGTTCCAGTAGCAGCACCCCCAGAAGCCCAGCCAGAGCCTCAGACAAAGGAAACGGAGCCCCCACCAGAGAGCTCTGCCCCAATGCCAGCTCCTCCAAAGCCTGAGGAGCCCCCCACAAACCAGGACAGCCAGCCAGATACCCTGGCTGCCTCCTGCCTCCCTCCTGCTGGAGATCATGCCAGGTGACTTGGGGAAGTACTCAAGTTTTCCAAGCTCCTTGAGGTTTCCTACTCTCCACTTTCCAAAGGAGGAGGAGGAAAAGTAAGGGTGGGTGTGATCCAACCAAGTGAAATAAGACAGGGATGGTGGGGGATAGCAACTTACCCCTTTTCCCCATCCAGGCCCAACCCAAACATGACACTCTGATTAGCTAGGGGGAACAGTGGATAGAGTGCTGAGGAAAACCCTGAGTTCAAATCCTGCCTCAGATGCTTACTGGCTGTGTCATCCTGGGCAAATCACTCAGCCTCTGTTTGCCTCAGTTTCTTCATCTGTAAAATGGGGACAATAATAGGCATCCATCTCTCAGGGTTGTTGTGAGGGTCAAATAGGATAATATTTGTAAAGCTCTTTGCAAACCTTAAAACATTATATGCTATTAGCTAGTATTTTTATTAGCTGTTTGGTGATGGCAGTGAGCTGGCTTCCCCTGTCCTTCAGGGCCTCTGCCCTGGTCTTTTTTTCTCACGCCTTTAAGCTCAAAAGGAAAATGAGTTTTAGGGAGGACAGACATAGGGTCATGGACACTGGGGAAGGAAGACTCTTGGCCAGAGCCCCTAGAGCAGACTCTAGAAAATCCCAGGGGACATGGAATGAGCCAGGGAGAAGCAGGAATCACAGGTCTGAGATTGTTTCCAAGAGAAGTTTTCTGTCCACCAGGCTGATGGGGTGGGTCAAGAGGAGACTGGAAATGGTGATTCCTCAGCCTGTTCCTTGCAAGAAGGTGGTGCAGGTGAGTGGAGGAGGCTTCCAGAGTGTTACGGTGTAGCTCCTGGGTTAGCAGAAAGGAGAGAAGCCCTACCTCTTGATCTGCCACTGAGCCGGAATTGGGAAAATGCCCACGGGGGTGGTGGAGGTGGGGCATCATCGATATAAGGACAAACCTCCAGGTGAGAAAACTCCTTACACCAGTGCTGGTAGCACTTCCTTTGTAATTTTGTGTCTTACAGACTTGGCTAGGCCAGTGGTGTTCCTCAGACCGAAATGGGGACCACTAAACCACACATAAAAATCCCTCCTGGTGCACATCAGCTTAGAAAACTACATATTAGCATTATCTGTGTTCTATTATATTTTAATTTATTTTGTGAAATATTTCCCAGTTGCATTTTAATTTGGTTCTGGGCAGCCCTGGGGAGGGTTGTTGGTACTTTCTTTATCAAATATGATTGTTGCTGGGCCCTCAGAATGGAGCCACCCACATATTAGTGTCTGTCAAGGCTTGTCAGCCTGGTCCCAGAATTGGAATTGTTCTGCGGGGATGGACACTCAGACCCAAAGCTGCCTCTTCTGCCTCTTCTGCACCCATCACTCCCATATAGTACCTTCTATGTAGGAATACACAGACACACATATTTATATATACATTTATTTGCACACACACACACACTATATATATACATATGTATACACACACGCACACATACATATATGTATATGTACTACCTCTCTCATGTAATAAATGCTTAATGAAGACTAGTTGATTGTTTTAACAGGCAACAGTTAAGCACCTACTATGTGTCAGGCCCTGTGCAAAAGATATAAAACCAAAAATGAAACAGTCTTTATCCACAAGGACCTTCTATTCTATTGGTGGTGGAGGTGGAAGAAAGGAGACTTGACTCAGAATAGGGAGCTAGTGAGAATTCTTGAACTGAAGAGTCACATGATATTAATATAAATTTATACAATTGACTATTAACTATAATAATTAATAATAAATATAATAATGCATAAATAGTATAATATATAAATATAAACAATAATATAAAGAAAAATAATTATAAATTATAATAACAAACTATTAGCTTATATAATTAATTACATCAATATGATAAATATTAATATATAAGAAGATGGATCTGTGTAGGGTCAATGGAGGGGGTAGAGCCTAGTGGTGAGGAAGGAACTTTTGGCAATGATTAATTTTGTTTCTCTCTGATCTTGTAGGAGCTGGAAGCACCCACCGAGTGCACCGTGCAGAACAGTAAGTGATTGATTTGGGGGCCCTTGATTTGGGTGGGTATCTGAGCTGGATTAATTTGTGCCCTGTGGTATGAGCCCATGTAGGCATGAGGGCTGTGCCTGGTCTAGCTTGATGCACTATGACATGAAATGATACCTGTGATTTCTGGGATCGCCTATGCTGGAGGTCAGCTGGAGCATTTCAGCCGGGTGTAGATACGAGATAGTCCAGTGATGAGGGGATTTGGTTTAAAACCATCCTCATGAACAGATGCTAGGTCAAAGCAAGTGGTTAAGGAGGAGCATATGTTTAGCTTAATTCCTCCCGTGGGCTAGGTATACCTTAGCAAATGGCTCATCCCTATTTAAAAGGGTAAGTTAAAATGTCAGGAGTTCAGAAGTGTCCCCGTGGAAAATTAGAAGTGGAGAGGTGAAGGTTTGGGAATTTAAAAAAATAAAAGGTAATCCTATAGGAGGAATGGGATTTTTCCCTCCCTTCACTCCTACCAGAGTAGGGAGATGTAGATTAGTAAATGGGATGTGAGATGTCCAGGGGACTTTCTGTCTCCTCAGGTGACACTGGGTCGGGGAAGAGGCAGGAAGTTTAAAAGCACTTATTAACTGTCTACTGTATATCAGATCTGTATTAAGCACCTTACAAATATCATCTCATTTGATCCTCATAACAACTCGAGGAGGTACGTGTATTGTTATCCCCATTTTATAGATGGAAAAAAAAACCCAAAACAGGCAGATAGAGGTTAAATGACTTGTCTAGGGTCACCTACCTAGGAAGAGTCTGAGGCCAAATTTGAACTCAGGTCTTCATGACCTCAGGCCTGACTCTCTATCGACTGTGTCACCTAGCTGCCTAACTGCAGGATGGTTTTAGGCTTGGGGAATCCCTATGGAGAAGAGGCACTGCTTTGTCCAGTGCACCCGGGAGTACCCCCTGCCCAATGGGCTTCAATCTTGTCCAAGGATTCATGATGCAGTTGGGGGTCTAGGTCTGGGAATTTGTGTCTAATGGAATTTCCCCTCCACTGACTTTGTAATTTATGGTTTTAGAGAGTTGCTTGGGCATGGCGAGGCTCCAATCACACAGCTAGTATGTATCAAAGATGGCACGTGAACCCAGGTCTTCTGGTCTCCAAGGCCCAATCTCTACCTATTACTCTATAGTACTTCTCTGCCTCAATCAATTTGTGCATGGCACTGTGCTTGTATTGGAAACACAAGTACAAAAATAAAGGAGGTCCTACCCTTTAGGGGCTTACAGTTGAGCCAGAGGAGACAATGTGTATAAGGAGAGACAAGCTATAGATACAAGTAAAATTGTGGGTGAGAGGGCATTTTGCAGTTGAGGTAGTGCTTGGCCAGAATTTTGAAGGACAAAAGGGATTCTAAGAGGTAGAAGCTGGTGGGAGTGAGTGCATTCCAGGCTGGGGACACAGACCAAGGATTAAATATTAAAATGGCAATATTGGTTAAGCTCTAGTTCTTTTACTTTTCAAAATACATTGCCATGCATGATCTTATTCCATCCTCACAAAACTTCGAGGTGGGAGGACTGGGGTTTTTTATTATAATTTGACAGATGAGAAAACTAAGACCTGGAAAAATGAAATTATTGACAAAGCCAAAACTTGAACCCAGGTCATAGACTCATAGGATTTCCATCTGGAAAGGACCTTAGTGAGTTCTAATCTAACAATCCAAAGTGAGTGGTGATGTTGCATAATGGATAGAGGAAGTTGGAATCAGGAAGACCTGGGTTCAGTTTTTACCTCAGATACTTCCTCACTGTGTGACTCTGGACAAGTTACTCAATTTCTCTTTGCCTTAGTTTCCTCATCTGTAAAATGAAGTGTTAGATTTGATGGCTTCCAAGGTCCCTTCCAGTTCTACAATTTTGATCTTTTGATCAGGATGTTTTTTTTGGAGAGGCAGCATGGTAGCCTCTCAAAAGGCTAAGATCCTTTCTCTAACACCAATTTTTTTTTTAAATTTTAAATATTTTTTCCAATTAAATGTTAAAAACAATTTTAACCTTTTTTTTCCCCACAATTTTGAATTACAAATTGTCTCCTACCTTCTCTCCTCTCCCCCATCACTGAGAAGACAAGCAATTTAATAATGCCAGGCTTGAGGCTTTACCTGCCTGTCTCAAACCCTGGCTGAATCACTAGCAGGTCTGGGGTAATTGTGAGATTTGCCCCCTTGCTGCCTTCAAACAAGGCTGTTCCTCTTGTTGCTGGGGGCATTGCAGGACCCTGTCTGTATCTCCTCTGGAGGCCTCTGCTACCTCTTACTTTTTTCCAGAGGTGGGGGCAAAATGTGGTGGTGAGTGTGGGTAGTTGTTATCACCATTTTCTCCACATCTGTAGGGTTTCCTTTGAGGCAAGGTTTATATTTAGGCTAAAAGTGTTTCCAGCTTCAGCTCATTCATGGGTTTCCTCCCCTTGACTCATAGCACCATAATAAGAGCTAACACTCACCTAGAATTTTAAGTCTTTTTCTTTTCTTTTCTTTTTTGGAGGGGGGCTAGGCAATGGGGTTAAGTGACTTGCTTAGGGTCACACAGCTAAGTATGTGTCAAGTGTTTGAGGTTGGATTTGAACCCTGACTCCATGGCCAGTGCTCTGTCTGTTGCACCACCTAGCTTCCCCTCAGGTCTCTCTTGAGGCCAAAGCCAGTCTGTTGTCCACCATGTCACACCACTCATGCATCTTAGGGGAGATGTGATAGCTGTATTTGGTGTTTGAAGGGATTAGACTCTCTCTGCTTGGCCCCAGAGGGCAGAACTAAGGGTACTGGGTGGAGCTTGCAAAGGAATGAAGGAAGCAAACAAGAATTTATTGCGCTGCTCCCACTTTGTGTCAGTCCTGGGGTATATGGGGTGTTCAGGGAGGATGAGCACCTCTGGTGGGAGGGCCACTGAGCCCTTTTCAGGGTGTCTGTCTGGCCCTCAACTCTCACCTGT